TCAATAAAAGACAAGAGGAAATGAAGAATACAGTTTCTGAATTGAAGAACACAGTAAAAAGAATCAAAAGCAGGCTCGATGAAGCAGAAGACCGAGTCAGCGAGCTGGAGGATAAGGTAGAAAGAAGCTCCCAGAAAGAGCAAGAAAATGAAAAAAGATTCAAAAAGAATGAAGAGGAGTTTGGGGAAACACAAGGCAACCTGAAATGTAATAATATCCATATAACAGGGATACCAAAAGGAGAAGAGGAGGAGCAAGGAATAGAGAACCTGTTTGAAAAAGTAATGATGGAAAACTTTCCTAATTTGAAGAGAGAAAAAGTCACACAAGTCCAGGAAGCACAGAAGGTCCCATTCAAGAGGAACTCAAGGAGGCCCACTCCAAGACACATCATCATTAAAATAGCAAATATCAAAGACAGACAGAGAATCCTAAAGCAAGCAAGGAAGAAAGAGGCAGTAACATATAAGAGAGCCCTTGCGTGGCTAGCAGCTGACTTCTCAACAGAAACACTACAGGCCAGAAGGGAATGGCAAGAAATATTCCAAGTCTTGAAAAGCAAAGGCCTGAAACCAAGACTACTCTACCCTGCAAGGCTCTCAGTTAAAACAAGAGGCAAAATAAGGAGTTTCCCAGACAAAAGAAGGCTAAAAGAACATACCTCCACCAAACCAGCACTGCAAAATATTCTAAAGGGACTGCTGTAAGAGGATGAAGAAAAAGAGTCTATGAATACCCAGTTCCATTCACAGTCACCAATACTTGATATTGCCAATATTTTTAATAGTTATTAATCTGATTGTGACAATGATGTTATTTTAATTTTAATTGTTACTTTATTTTTTGTTGAAACTAAACCTGTTTTTAAATATTTCTTGCCTATTTCTATTATTTTTAAAAGCTTTAAATGACTTTTGGTATTCTTTATCCATTTTTTAACTAAATGTTTATAGAATATTCCCCTAAAAAAAAAGAAAAAACTATTAATCCTGTTTTAGATGTGTTTCAAATACTTTATTGTTTTGTACTTTCTCCTAAAACTTCTTAGATTTTACATATTGATTTTTAACTCACCTGAATATTTCTTGTATAATGTGTGAAATAGGGCTCTATATTTGTTTTATTTCAAGTAATAGTGGTCCATGCACCTTATTTGTTGAATAAACCTTATTTTCCCCATTGATTTGAATTATCAATTTAATCATATATTACACTGTTAGATATATATGTTTGTTTCTAGCATGCACATTTTATTTCATTGATCTACTTGATTATTTCTCTGCTGGTGTCATGTTGTTTTAATTGCTGAGACTTTATAATGGATTTAAATTTTTTAATATTTTATAATGGATTTTGACACTTAAAATAAATAAATAAATACAATCAATCTGCATTAATAAAGAAAGAAAGAACTCCTACCTTTCTCTATAACATCAATAGAACTGGAAAATATTATGCTAAGTGAAATAAGCCAGTCAGTAAAAGACAAATGCCATATGATCTCACCTATAACTGGATTCTATTCAACAAAATAAACTAACGAACAAAATAAACCACGAGCATGGAAACATGGAGCAGACTGAAAGTGATGAGAGGGGATGGTGAAGGAGGACAGTGGTGGAAAGAAGGAAAACGGACTAGACAAAGAACATGTATGAATGACCCATGGACTTGGACACAGTTTGGGAATTGACTGTGGGAACAAAGGGGAGGGGTGAGATGGGTGGACGAGGGCAAAGGGGGAAAAGTTGAGACAACTTTAATAGAATAAACATGATTTTAAAAAATAAAATAAAATTTGTCCCAATTTTGAGAAGTCTGGGAACTTTCTAGCTATTATCTGTAGGCAGAAGGGATGCCAACCTTGCAAGACCATTGAACTACCTATTAAATAATGTAGGCTTAGAAAGGAGGATGCTGAAGAAATCACCATAGGAATATGACAGGTATAGTGTTGTGTGGTTTTAAGTATAAAGATAGACCTCCAAAACAAGCTATTTTAAGACTGAAGTTAAAAGCTAAATCTTGCCGGAAGAGTAGATGGGATTGCAGACTTGAAACTTGAACTTTGTCTAATCATGCTGTCATAAAATACTTGAGGCTTATTAAGGGCCTGTTACTGTGCCATATTATATACATTATCTCCATTTAACTGTCACAATGAGTATAAAAGACTATTATTATCCCAATTTTATAGGTGAGAAAACCAAGAAGTCAAAAAAACCCCTTACATTTACATAGCTCATAAAGGTTAGAGCTGAGACTCAAATCCAGATCTTACTCCAGAGTTGATGGCCTTAATGTGCCACTTCCCACATAATAATAAATGAAAACTACTATTACTGTGTTTTGAAAGCAGCCAAAGAGGAAGTCTGCATTAAATAGCAATTCATAATAGAAAAGAGCTATTTGGATCTGGATTTTTTCCTCTTATATCAGCCTCTTCATATTATTTTTGAGCATGTGCATTTTATAAAGAGGGCTAAATTGAATATGTTGTTTATTTGCTTAGAATAGTTAATCTTAAGGAGTGTCATTAGCTTCTTAACTGCCCACATATTCAAACAGATCTAAGATTTCTCTATCAGGGCTGTAAAGAAGGAGCCACCCTACATCTGATCTACTCTGTGGACCTACCCTGTCAGAGAACAATGTAAATTAGAAAGGACAAGAGAGATGTTTAGTCAAATCCTATAGCTACACCAAACTGTACCATGTCCTACTAGGATTACCAATGAAAAAAAGAATTCATGTTACCCCAAGAGAATAAATAAAATAATAAATTCTAAACAAATTTTTTAAAAGTACATGTTAATGGTAGTTTAGAGAGAGATCCACTGCAGCTCTGGAGGTCAAAAAAGAGACCAAAGTGAGATGATTAATAAAGAAGGCTTTGAGTTGCACAGATCTGGGCTTGAATTCACATATATGGCCTTGAGCAAGTTATTAGACCTTTCTAAATCCGGTTTCTTCATCTATAAAATTGAAATTTTGAAATTAGATAATAAACGTAAAATATTTAGCATGGTGCCCTGCTCGTTCTCACTGTAATGTAATCTCTATTTGTTAACATTGTCCATTAGACTGTGACCTCTCTAAAAACTGGATCTAGGCCCTGGCCGGTAGTTCAGTTGATTAGAGCGTCGTCCTGAGGTGTGAAGATTGCAGGATCCTTCCCTGGTCAGGGCACCTACAAGAAGAACCAGTGAATGCATAAATAAGTGGAACAACAAATCTCTCTCTCTCTCTCTCTCTCTCTCTCTCTCTCTCTCTCATCTCTATCTCTATCTCTCAAATCAATTGAAAAAAAAAAAAAACTGGATCTATGTCCTGCTTGTATTTGTGTCTCTCAGCCTTTGATATAGTACATAAGCTCATTCCATTCCTGATGTTTCCTTCTCTATGAGGGATCAGAATACTTCTAGCCTCTCTCAGCCCTTGACATATTTCACTAGGAGAAGTGAACAGTTTGCCTGATTGGTTAGTCAGGAAGGGCTTACCACATGCCACTCTTCACAGTCTCCTGGGAGCATGCAGTCTCTTCCATGCTTCCATACCATAAATCTTTCCATCCAATGCCACCATGACCAAGTGGACAAGTCTACCTAATCCTGGGGTATAGTAACATGAAACATATTTTCACACAAATATTGAAGGGTAAAGGGACACTTGTCTGGAAAGAAATATTAGAACCAGCTTGTGGAAGACATCTCTTTAATAGATTCATTACATGACATTTAGACAGATTCCTTAAAACGTATGGGTATTGTGTGTGCCCTGGCTGGTGTGACTCAGTGGACTGAGCACTGGCCTGTGAACCGAAAAGGTTGCTGGTTCAATTCCTAGTCAGGACACATGCCTGGATTACAGGCCAGGTCCCCAGTTGGGGGCGTGCAAGAGGCAACCAATCAATGTATCTCTCACACATCAGTGTTTCTCTCCCTCTCTTTCTTCCTTTCCCTCTCCCTAAAAATAAATAAATAAAATCTTTAAAAGAGATATGGGTATTGATAAAGAATGGAAAAAGTCTGAATGACTAAGCCCAAAGTAATACTTGTTTTGCTTTGATGCCTGGACATTTTTGTTGTGTGTGTGGTTTGGGGAGGGGGTTGTTTTGGAGGGTTTCATTTTTATTGTGTTGAGGAAGTGAGGATGAGGTAGCAATATTTTAAATTTTGTGCAGACTTCATTTTGTGTTATTTTAAAAGTTATTTATACTAAGGTACTAATAAACCCATCATTTGATGACTAGACCTGCTATATCAGTTTTTAGCCAAGTGTGGTCCAGGGTTCTGCCTCAGAATTACCTGGAGGGCTCTCAGAATGCAAATTTCTATGCCTCACCTCAAATCTGTCAAACCAGAATCAGGTGGCAGGAGGGGGGCAGAGAGGATGAACCCTAGGAATATGAGTTTCATATTACCCCCCAGGTAATTTTTATGCTAATTGTACTAAGGGCATAGCTGCTAACAGACAGGTGTATTCAATTTAAATGTTCATAGAAAAGGAGTGAGTGTGTGTGTGTGTGTGTGTGTGCGCGCGCACGCGTGTGCGTGTGCACAGTTACTGCAAAATCAGATTATTGGCCATTCTGATTCTGCTACAGTCTCTTTTCCTGCAGATCTGGTCAGGTCTACTTCTTCAGTCAAGAATATCAAAAGCCTGAATGGGCCTTTTATATATGTGGCTATTTTGTGTCTTACAGATCTGATGAACCAAAACTAGAAAAATTATAGACAGTTTTAAAACCTTTTAAAAATGAGAGATTGAACACGTTTAAGATCAACAAGAAGACCCCTTAAAATTCTACCAAACAGTCATAGCTTCTTCAAGTTTTCCTCTTCTGGCTCTAAGTGACTGAAGATAAAAGATGGGAACTTGAAAACAGAGCAATGTTCCTAGGCATTTATTGCAAGCTCATATTCCATAACACGGCCTTCCTTGTGTGAGAAAGCGTGGGGGGAACGCTATGCTTAAGCCTGTCATGTTTCTCTTTATAGATCATGCAACAGATGAGTGACCACCGCTATGACAAACTCACCGTGCCTGATGATGTGGCTGCAAATTGTATATATCTAAATATCCCCAGCAAAGGCCACGTCTTGCTGCACCGAACCCCAGAAGAGTATCCAGAAAGTACAAAGGTAAGAAACCATCAACTGTGGCCACTGCAGCTAGGTAGGCTTCCTTGATAATCTTACCGTCAGGCAATTTTTTCATGATGGAATGACAAATTACAAGGGTTTCTGTTTCCTCTATACATATCAAGTTATTGGGAAAACAGAAAGGATAATAGAATTTAGGGGAAAAGGAAAGTGTGTATAATTCACTGTTCTCACTTACGTTATTGGTTACAAACACATGCACAATAATTGAGATGACTCATGCCTGCTATTCAGAGCTTTCCAAATAAGAACTTGTGCTCCAGTTCTGATTAAATGTACTTCCCCACACTCAGATACTGATTAAGCATAGAGACCTACAATTAGATGGTCAACAGGGTCATTGCTTTATGACAACTCTGAGCTGCCCCTCATCAGAGCGTCATTTGTTCCTCAAGTCAGAGGCGTAGGAATGACCCAGAGAAGTGGGTGCTCATTGTCAGGGCTGCAGAAAGAAGGGGACACACATCCTACGCATAACGAGCATTAAAATACTCTGTCAAAAGGGTAGAGCAGGAAGAAATAGACTACACTTGGAATCAACCAACTGGTCCCTCTATGAGTCTCTGCATTTGTGTTCCAACAAGGCAATTGTGCCTACATATGGAATTCTTGCCTGGTCTAACAAAATCGGTTTTGCCTTTAGGGCACTCTGCCAGTCTCATCTGTATACTTTAGTACTTCAATTTAATCCTACCAAGCATATGAAACAGTGCGCATCCACAGATGTTTCAAGTATCTCTATTTTTTAGGCCTTCAGCTTCTTCATCTCTGCCCAGGAGAACAAGCTGTTTATACTAAACATTACAGACGAGCCTTAAGTAACCATTGATCTTGTTTTTTATATACCTAGAGCTTTAAAATTTCTAAGATAATATTTTGTGCCACCTCTTAAATATGCAGTACTGTTTAATTTCTAGGCTTATTCTCATATTCTGTCTCCCTCTTAACATACTGAAAGAGAAGAGTAGGGATTCCATAGAAAATTTTCCTCTATTTCCATGGCTAGAAGTGTGAACCTGAGAAAAACATAGGACTCCTGGCCCCAGACTGGTCTTAACCAGCTCTGGATGGATAGTGGGTCTCATGCTTGAATGTGCATCAGGGTCATTAAAATACAGGTGCCCAGACCTACACGAGAATCTGCGATACCAGCAAGCACTTGTATCACACAATTCACTTGGAGCTTCACGGCTCTGGATCCTTCATGCCTTTTCAGCCACACTGCTCAGACGGTCATTAACTGCTTCTGCAAGCAGCCTTCATCATCACTGGAAAAGCTAACAGCCACACCTACGGAGGGCTCCCCTGTGCCAAGCATGTCACATGCAGTATTTTATACCCCTGCGAGGGCACTATTCTTATCCCAGTGTTTCAGAGAACTAATCCAAGGCTCAGAGGGTATGTCACCTGACTGAAGTCACATTCCAGGTAGCAAGTTGACAGAACTGGGTTTGGAACCCAACTCTCTCTGGCTCCAGCCCTCCTTTAACCACTGTGTGAATTTTAAGGAGCAAAGTGATCCCTAGAGAAACACGGTGTATTGTTTTTATGTGGGGTGTTTTCAAATAATTTTTTTAATGTGCTTTGTTTGATCATCAGACAAAAGTGTATGGACTTTTAATTCAAAGTTTTGACACATACTTTCTATGAATGCCAAAAAATGCTGTAAAATTCTCGCCTGTAATTAAAAAGCAGTTTGACCTAAAATGCTTCACTTAAATTATATTTTCTCCAGTTTTTCTGAATGGTGTTGTTAAGGAAAGAAACATTAAAATATAGTTAAGAAGGTTTTAAAAGTGTAGAGAGAGAGTAATACTCAGACTGAAAACATGGCCACTGTCTTTCATATGTCACTGAATCTAGCAATGACAGCTTCTCTGGTACCAACCACATTCTGACACATCTCTGACTTTGAGGTTACAAGCACAGAGTTAGTGGTTAACCAATGCGCCTCGCTCTATGGGTATGTCTGTGGGCACGTATGTGGTCTAGACAGCATGCACATCTTGAGGTTAAATGGGTGAAAAGCCTAAATTCACAAATTACCAGTAATTCTCTATACGAGGTGGGGAGCAGGTAGGGATGACAGAAGCAAGAACATAATTCTTCTTCTCTCTCATTCCTTGATTCCTGCTGTAGGTTTATGAAAAACTGAAGGACCACATGCTGATCCCTGTGAGCCTATCTGAACTGGAAAAAGTGGATGGACAGCTCACCTGCTGCTCAATTTTAATTAACAAGAAGGTAGACTCCTGAGTGGCAGTCCCTGCCTGCAGCCGGCAATACTGCACTCACACGGCCGACAACTGTCCCCACTCCTGTCGTTTTCATTGACAATCTACTGTGCCACTGTGCTACTAACTCTGATTTTTAAAAGTTTAATTTTAATTGCTTCATTCTGCACCTTTTATCCCTCCCCTTACGGTGGTACCCAAACTGTGGATTTGCTAAATGAATTAAGCAACGTAGAAAATATAGAGCTAATGAATTATTGAAATGTGATTAATGATTATAAGAAAACACTCAGTAGTGTTTGTATTGTTGATGTGAAAATCATTTAGTTGCCAATATATGCTGAGGAATGTCTTGATCAGTCTGATGAGCTGGGGTTTTATCCTTTATGTCATTAATCGTCTTTGCTTCCTGTGAAATGCGCTGGTCCATGGATTCTCCCTCCTTTTTTTTTCTTGCAAACTCTGAAAATTTTTTTCCAGTTACTTTCTTTTGCTTTTCTCACCTCTAATACAGTTACCTTGACCTCGGGTAAAATCGAGGGTCTTGCCTTCTGGATACCTTCCTGCAAGTTCACCCTGTCTGACATCGGTCTCTTCCTCCACATGGCTACATCTCCCAGCACCCCCCAGAGCCCCCCAGAAGAGCACATGGATCTCTCAACAGAACTGTGATCAAATCCAGAGCAGCTGTTTGGAGGAGAGTTTCCTGCACAGAGGCACATCCTGACAGCGTTTCCCAGAGATCTAAATTCCAGAGGCAGGGCACCACACCTAGTAGGTAAATTCAGCACCGGATGGTTGCTAGGGCTTCATTGATCAAGAAGCTTGGAAACGCCCCATGGATATAATGTCTTAGAGAGCCTTGAAGTCACATTCTATGAATTTTTGCTTCATTACTGGCCATACACAGACCTTGGGGGAGAGTCTTATTTTTTTCTTCAGCTCATTTCCATTTCCTTCCATTGTGATTCACCCTATTTATTACCAGCCTTCTTCCCCTGGCAAGTATCCCAGCCAAGCAAAGTTATTTCTTTCAAAAGAGACCTCACATCTAAAAGTGATTACCGGCCCTGTCCAGGTAGCTCAATTGGTCAGAGCATCATTCTGATATATCAAGGCTACGGGTTCAATCTCAGGTCGGGGCACATACAAGAATTAACCAATGAATACATAAATAAGCGGAACAACAAATGGATATTTCTCCTTCCCTCCCTCCCCCTTCCTCTCTCTCCAAAAATCAATAAATAAATTTAAAAATTTAAATGATTATTAATGGTCTAGTGTGAGCCAGATGAATCCTGCTCAGGAAGTGATAGACTTGGCGCTTGAAACCAGCTGCTGACAATGGACAATTATTTGAAATACCCACGAGTATTTACTATGGAATTCAGCGAAAACTTCTTTCCTCTACAGCCTTTAAGTTACACAACCTTAAACTGACACAGAGCTCTCGCATAAAACAATGCCACAGTGAAGGAAGAGATCATTATATTCCACTTAAGCCTGAAAGAATTGGCCTATTTGCAGGCCAGGGAAAGGGTACTTTCCAAGGAATGGTGACTGATCCAGGCATGTCATTGAATTTTCTAGTCATCTTCACCTTTCCCATATTGCCTGTGGCTTGTTTTTTAAGAGTAAGAATCAGGGAGATTAAGAACTACTACTTCAAGTCTTGTTCTGCTCACCTATGTGTTTGTAATCAAACATTCCTTATGTCTGATGACCAAGAGAGAATTACCTTCATTCATTTCCTCTCCCCATTAGTAAATGGAAGTAATAAACTTCTGAGAACACCAAGACACCCTTAGCCACTCTCTTTTTTATCGATTTGATATTTTTTGCCAGAATTAGAAGAAACTCCTTCTCCTCCTTATTGCTTAACTTGGAAATTTATTTCAAGTGCAAATATCTAATTATATACATCCCATGAATAAATGGTCAATGTCATGTTTCCAACTGCCTTCTCATGGGTGAATAATACCTTTTACCAGAGAGAGAATGAATGTTACCTGCATGCCCAAGTTAATAAAGAAAAATTATCCTCAGCACTTACGGTTGCCTGCAGGGTTTAAATATGACCTTTTGCTAGCAAAAGCAGAAATCCTTCTGGGAAAGTTCAACATCTCAAAAACAGCCATGGAAAAACTAACCCAATCACCTGGTTTAGGCACATAATTTTTAATCTCTTTATTTGTATCATCCCAAATTAAAAAACTATTCTCTGTTATGTTTTGTCAACTGCAAGCGAATAGATTTTTCTCTTGAACTGTTTGTCCTACAGAGGCTGTTTTCATTTTTCCTCTCCTTTGCTTCTTTCCCTCTTTCCTTCACTCTGCCCCAAGAAATCACTTAGAATCTGTGTGCCTCTTCTACAGAATCTTACTCCACACAGCTACATCACCAACGAGGCTGGCTTCTTTGGACTACCTGTGTGATATGATGATGTGAAAACCTAAAATGTGTGCAGCGTAGTAGTGGTCCTTCTTTCATATACTCATCAGCACAATGTTATCCTTGCAGAAGAAAGATAACCTGTGGCATAGGTCCCCTGGTGTCCATTGTGATTTATAAGGATAGATAAACTAACAAAAACTGCTTTTTGACATGATAGAGACATTAGTAACTGTATTTAAGTAAAAGTTGAATTACTTGGTCAGTAAGATTCAATTAAATGAAGACAATATAGAGAAAGTACATTATTTAGCATTACTTCTTCAACTGTGATGATTGCTATAGAAATCAACAGGCAGATCTCGTTAATGTGTATTGATCGCTCTTTTAAACTACTGTGAACAGATAGATTACTGAGGCCACCTCCTCACCTCGACGGGGAGAAAATAGCCTGTAGATGAATACTGTGACTTATCTAGAGCTGCATGTTAGTCTTTGTAATTATTTACTCTTAACATTCTACAGAACTCAGACATGATTTCCACATGGCGTTAGGTTTGTGCATTTTATTTCACTGACCATCTTGTTCCAGCCAGTGTACGGTTACCCACTCTGTGTGCCAAAACCAGTAATGCCTTTCACAGCCCTTTAGTCCAGAGAAGTTCTGCACTGATTTAGTCCCTTGCTGTCCTGATCCTACAAGTACACCAATTACAATGGAATAAAGTGTTAGTTGTACTGTGATCCACAACGTTTGTCTCTCTATTTTTTAACAGAAACTGCTATGGTAAATTAAGTCATCATTTCTTTGCTGTCAGACATGAGAAGTTTTCTCTCTTCTCTTACAAGCTAAGTTACTAGAAATACTGAACCTGTAAATCAGCTGCCTTTAGTAGCTTCAATTAAAATGATGGCTGAAGAGATACTTTATACTTTGGACACTTAAAAAGGATGCACATTCTTCATGCTAGGCCAAGGGAGCTTGATTTCACACATGCTCCTCCTTAAAAAAGTTTCCCTTCTTCGCTTAGCTCCTAACTGTTGCCAGTACATGATATGGCTCAGTTATAGAAGCAGATAAAGAATTATTTTCTTCTGTCATGCAAGAGTTTGGAGCAGGGGTTGTTTTTGTTTGATTTACAGGAAGCATCTTTTAGGAAATTTAAAGATTTTTATCATTTAAATTTTATTTTTCAATTACAGTTTACATTCAACATTATTTTGGATTTGTTTCAGATGCACAGCATAGTGGTTAGACAATCGTATACTTTACAAAGTGTTTCCCCTGATATTTCCAGCACCCACCTGGCACCATACATACTCATTACAATATTTTGACTATATTCCCTATGTTGTACTCTACATCCTTTGTAACTACCAATTTGTACTTCTTAATCTCTTCAACATTTTCACCCAGTCCCCCAACCCCCTCCCTTCTGGCAGCCATTAGTCTGTTCTCTGTATCTAAAAGTCTGTTTCTATGTTGTTTGTTCATTTATTTTGTTCTTTAGATTCCACATATAAGTGAAATCCTGTGGTATGACAAAGGAGGTAAGAATATACAATGGGGTAAAGACAGCTTATTCAATAAATGATATTGGGAAAATTGGACAGATACATGCAAAAAAAAAAAATGAAACTAGACCACCTTCTAACACCACACACAAGAATAAACTCAAAATGGATTAAAGACTTAAATGTAAGACTCAAAACCATAAAAGTCCTAGAAGAAAACATAGGCAGTAAAGTCTCTGATATTTCTCTTAACAAAATTTTTTCTGCTATACCTCCTCAGATAAGAGAAACAAAAGAAAAATAAATGGGACTACGTCAAAAGGAAATGTGGAGATTTCTCGACGAGGCTTTTTTATTTTTAACAATTTTTCCTAGCTAAAAGTAGCTTTGTTTTCTCTTTCTGATCATAGAAATAGCTGTCCACTGTGAAAATAAAATTCAAACAATACAAAGAAACTGTAAAAACAAAAGGAAAGAAAACATTACCCAAAACTTCATCACCTAGAGGTAGCTACTATTAACATTTTGGAGAATATCCACACATCTATGAATAGATATAGATATAAATATGGAATAATTTTATGTACTTATGCTGTTTATAGCCTGCTTCCTTCACTTACCAATATATCGTGGGCATCTTTCCATGTCAATAAATATAAATCCACATCCTCAATTTTAACATGCCTGAATATTCCATGATACGGTTGTTGGAGCAGCTCTTTCTAATTTATATGGAGCATTATATCACAGATGTTTGGTATGCCCCTGTTGCCAGTAGCTGGGGGTGGGGGGGGGAGGAGGGGGTCTTCAAGCTGCCAAAAAAATGTGTTGCTTCTAAAGTTTCACACATACCCAGAGTTAGTTCAATCTGGTGTCTTCTTACACACATCTCCTCAGTTGAGGTTGCATTGATTTGTTCTCTCATATTTAGGTTGGTAATGATACGGGCAACAAAACTAAAAAATGCCAGCGCCTACGCCTGCAAACTTCTCCGGGCCCCAGTAGGAAATGCAACCCTCCACCCAGGTGCCAGGGTGCTCCTCAAAGAGAAGGGAGAGGCTTTGTAAAGGACAGGTTGCCAGGGCTTCCCTGGCTGACCTTCCTCCCAGCCTTCCAGGAGAATCGAGCAAGATAAGCATGAGAAAAACTCCTTTTTGTGATGAGCTGCAGACTCTGGAAATGGGAATTTTTCAGAATGAAGAAGGCTGGCCGGCAATAGTTGAACATGCTCACGCCATGTCAGGCTCTGGGTACAGTGCTTGTTTTTCAAGAGCCGACAGTTTGGGAGGGGCAGGGAAGGAAGACTACACACGCGCACAAATGAATGTGACACAGCCGAAGGTAAGGTAAAAGCCAAAAGAACAGTGGTGTGGTGATTCCCAAAGAGGAGTTGAGTTTGATCTGAGCTTGACAGACAGCTCTGCCTTCAACAGGCAGAGATGAGAGTGCAGGCACTGGAGGCTGAGGGAACAGCATGAACAAAGGCATGGAGGTGGGTGTGCACTTCAGCAGCACCTACTGTGTGCCCATTAAGTCTGGTAGGCCCTGGGAACACAATGGTGCCAATCCCTGCTTTCCCGGAATTTACATCCAAATAGGAAGACAAGTATGAAACAAGTTAACTGGAAGTGCGATGGACATTATGAAAGGAGAATGGGGTGCTCAGAGCAGATGGTCGGGGCAAGCAAGTGGATTTGTTTGGCTGAAACATGGGGAAATAAAAGAGCATAGTGAGATCAGGTAGGTTGGAATGCCCAGGGCCATGCCTACTAAGGTAGACTGCATTTGGCAGCCCGTGAGGATCCCCTGAAGACTTTTGGGTCGGGGTCGGGGGTGTGACTTGGAACTTGGTATGGCTGCATTGTATTGGGCGAATGGGAATTGAGACCAGCATTCCTCCTGATTAATTTCTCCATGTTTAAGTCATTTAAGCATCTCTTCTCACTAAAATGGAACCTGAGAGGTGGGCAATTAATTCTCTCTATATTTTCTCTCCTGAAACACAGACTGATAACACCTATCCCTCCTCCAAAGGGACATTTTCAACGCAAATGAGATAAAAGGACTGAGAGGTTCTTTGGAAGAAAGGTATAATGTAAATATCATTATCATCATCATTATCCTCATTAACTCCTATCACATCAAGCCTGGATCCCATCCAACTGTCATCTTCGATGTGAAACATCAATCACCTACTCCAGAAATAACTCAGGATTTTCATCACTGATGCCTCTAAGCTGAACTGGCAGCTTCCGTGGAGAGCTCACAGGTTTCCTTGGCAGCCGACATGGCTGCTCCAAAGACACACTTCCACTAGGAAACTCTGGGCGTATCAGAATGTTCCCCATCTCCCTTCCCCCTCCAAACACTCATTTCTAACTTTGAAAACTGGGCCACTTATAACATGAGATAGCTGGGGTTATCAGGCCTTTAGGAGAATGTGTAAGTGCCAGATATGTTACTGTCACTATAAATAAATAAAAGAGTCAAGCCAGCATGCCAGCAAACCACTTGGTAAAAATATAGCCTGGGCTAGCTTGTCATATAATGGGTCCCTAGGTCTTGGGAAGCCCCCTCTATTTATAAACAGAAGGTTAGTCATTTGGCTAAGAATACACAGGGTGAGCTTGGGTCAATTAACACAAACCTTAGAAGGCAGTTTGCTTTTTCCTATGCTTAAACTTTTTTAAAAAATAGTATTTTAAGTTCTTGCTAAGGAACAAGGAAACATTGATTAGCTCAGATTTGGGGACAGAATTCAGAGGAAAACTCGTCAAAATTAAATCAGGGTATCATGTTCTATGTGTTGAGATTTCCCACTATTCCATAACGATACACTGATCTGATGCAAGGAAAACAAGCTCTGATTCCAAGTAGAAATGTTAGCTCTTCTACCTCTGGAAGAAGCCTGTGGATTAAACAGACTCATGCATCCAACAGAGGCTTGAAATTCCAGGGTGGGATATGACCAGAGTCATCTCTTTTGTTTACCTGGGACCCAGATGAGTCTATGAGGTCCCCTAGAGTTAGTGCTGGGACAGCCACATAGGGCCTGCTGTCTTTCCCCATTGAGGGAGATGGAAGGTACATTGTTACTAAGGCAAGATGGTAACAAGGAATCTGTCAGATAGGAAATAGAAATCACCCCCACTTTACTGAAAGACAGAAATTTCATTGAAAGTCTGTTTCAAAAGTATGGGTGTTCAGGGTACAAACTAAGAGATAGTGAGACACCCAGAAACCAGCTGCCAGCAGCACTCCTAGGCCCAACAGGGACAAGGACAGATTTGGGACAGGGTAGGGGCCACAGCTCCAGCCAGAGATCAGGTTCCAGAGCCAGGAAGCAGTACTTCAGCCTCCCTCTTCTTCCTCTCTGATTTGCTGGTGACCCCCATAGACTGACCACAACTGCAAGCTGATGTCCCCTGCTGGGTTCAGCCTTCTGGGACCAAGAGTTGGCAGAGGAGGGTGGAGAAAGGATCTGGAATGAGTAGAGGCTCATCAGCACAATGCCACTGTGAAAACGAGCTCTTAGCCCATCAGAGAGTGGCCATCACCACCTCTGTCTCTCAAGGTTGGCATTTAAATCATATTTCTTGGCAAATCCCTCAGACGCATGCCAGTTCTGTGGTCCGCTTCTCCCCTCTCAATATCAGAAAACGATTGGAGCAGAACGAACAGCAGGACATGAGCCCGAGGGTGAAAGAACATCACATTCCAGACCCATGAGTCCTGGACCTCTTTAGTAAGCACTATGTTAACTCTAAAATTAGAGCAGTGTCTCAGGCACCTGGTGTCCAAAAACAGCTAGTTGCCTTTCTATGGCATGTCCATGGCCTGCTGGTGACATAAGGTTGTTTAGGATTCCAAAGAACCTATTTTCTCTGGTTCCCCTTTTGTTTGTACATGCAGCAGACCTTGCTAGGCACGTGCCGTTTTGGTTTTACATAGTGACATTGCTCGTGGGGATCACATTCAGTCTAAACTAATAGTGTTGAGTTCCTCATTCCTGGGGGTGCTCAAATAGGGACTGAAAGACCCCATCGAAGAGTGATCGTGGAGAGATTGCTCTATCCAATGAAATCTGGTACTGATAACATCTAATGTCTTTACCACCCTGAAATTCTATGATCAGGCATTTGCACTCTTCAGATCCTGGTGACTTCCCTCTCTCCAGTGCCACCCCAGTCTCCCAAATATA